AGATCGTTTTCTCCTTTATGCCTCTTTTCTAGCTGAAGTGGGAAGTCCTGGACGTCAGAAATGAAATGAATTCACTAACATGTCACCAGCACCTATAGTTAATTCTTTACAAACATTTTTAAATTGAATCCACCCATGAGATAGGCATTATTATTGTTAGAGTTTCAGAGAGGAGAAACTGAGACACGGTGAGATTAAAAATTCATTGGTTATGTGGCCCAGGTCACAGAGTCCAGCTTTGAAAACTAGACTCCTGCTTTTCTATATTCAGGAGGCTTTGTGTCCTACTTATTATTATTATTATTATTTATTATTATTATTATTATTATTATTAACAGTCCTCATATTTGTTGCCTTCTATGCATTTCCATTGACCTTGACCATGGCTCCTGCTCAGACCCTCCTGACTTCTTCCTGAATGTGCATCGTTTTTAACCATCCTCTGCCTCCATTCTCTCTCCCGCACATGAAGCCAATTAATATGTGAGACCCTCGGCTCCCCTCATAGAGATTGTCCTGTTCCACATCTTTGACTTAAAGCAATGCCAACTGAATTCAAGGAGAGACAAGAAGCCAACCAAGTTTATGAACAAATGCATGAACTGCAGCTGCTTCTTTGTAATAATAATCAATGAAAAGAGACTTTCAGCAAGTGTAATGAAAAAGAGAAAGGGGAAGGGGAAATACATATTTGTGATGAAAATGGAGCCTAATCATGGTTTAGAGAAGCTCAGAACACTTGGAAACCAATACCATTGTAAAGTTATACACCTTTAGGCTAATGACTGAAATTCAGGGGGATAATGAAATTTTTTAGAAAAACTAAATTGTACAAATTGCCTTAAGGAGAAAATTTGAATGCGAAAGAGAACTATGAGCAAAACTGAAGAAAGGCTACCAAAGAACCACTCCTAAGACAAGCCCCGAGCTTCTGATATCTTAATAGGCAATGTCTTCAAGCAACTGATCACTGAGATCCTATTTATTTCCCAAACATGGGAAAATATGCACAGGTAATGACAATGTTTTGTAAGGCACGTGGAGCTTTGACATTTAAACCTGAGAAATAGAAAAACAACAACAATAGAGACCAATATTATTTATGAACATTGTAGCAGAGAGGACTAGCTACTCATCAACATGCATGTTCCCATCCATGGTATAGACAGACTGCTGGGAAATCTCCTTCACCCAGGAAACAAATCCCAGCTACACCTACTACTTCATAAACAGATGTGAGTGGAAGCCAGGCATTCATTTCCAGGTCGAGGCTTTTTAAACCTGTGTGTGGGCCTTTTCATTCTTTCTTTCCCAGAGGACTGAGGAGCTCTGGGGCACAGCTGGCAAATTATGGCCTGGAAACCTGCTCTATTCTCATGGATAAAGTTTTATTAAAACATAGGCTTGCTCATGTTCTTACTTGTTGCTCTGGTGCCTTTCATGCTACAACAGCTGAGTGGAGAAGTTGCCACAAACAGCTTAGATAGCCTAGCTTATGTATCACCTGGCCCTTTAAGGGAAAGTTTGGTGGATCAGGAGGACTGAAGGAGCCTGTTGGCCTGAAAGACCTGCCAGTGAGAAAAGCTCTCTCTGGATTGTTTATAAACAAGATCCACTTCTATTGCTGAGATTTTATGGTTTGTTTGGAGCTACCATTATTCCAACTAATAATAAAAGAGCAATAAAACATAAATAAAACACTAGCAATTTCTAGAAGAAAGGACCTATGTAAGATTTCCCCCAGAAATGTGGATAATTAAGAAAGAGCAATTGCACATTACTAGGTCTAGAAAGAAAATCCACAGGATCATCTTTGCATGCATACTGAAAGCATTTTAAAAGCCACGTTCATCTTACAAATGACTCTTAGTGGAACAGGAGGGAAACTCTTAGAATATCTACCCATAACAAAGCTAATATCACAGATAGAGGCAGATGATGACTAGAGACATTCCCATTTATGATAGAAACAAAGTAAAATGTTATCAGTAACATAATAAAAACATATATGTAACAGTGTAATACTGCTATTGAAGCATTGGCAATGCAGAAGAAATACTTTTTACTATACTATATTAATTATTAAATTATATAATAACATATTTTATACAATATAGTCATATAAGTTCTCTGTGCTTTATATGAACATATAATTTTACATATGATATGCATCTATATGTGATGTAACTATTTTATATATAATAAAATACATTTAACTATAGAATATTATACTTTATAAGAAAATTTACACAAAATTTGTAATTTATAAATTTATATATAGTTTATAAATTTATATATAACTTACAAATTTATAACATATAATTTATATTATAAATATTCTGTACATAATTTTAATAATTTTATTAAGTATATAATATATTAATAAAACCATAATGTTGCTTTTCAAGTATCAACCAGTGCATCAAGGCAGAAAAAAATGTGATTGTGTATTAGACAATCTAAAAAGTAAATTATTTAAACTATTACTAAAATCTTCTATTATAAAATAAATATACAAAATCAATAGATTTCTCATATGTTAGAAATAATTGACTTTACTTAAAGAATTTGCTTCAGAATTAATATATTTTAAACATATGAATTCACCATAAATTAATCTATTAATTTACTGTAGTCCCAAGCAGAATTCTAAAAAGACTGAAGTTGGCATGTGACAAACTGATTGTAAATTGCACCCAGCATATATTTGTGAGAGTAGCCAAGAAAAATGAGAAAGATCAGATCAATGTACAGACACTTGTGAAGACAGGTACTAAAACATATTGTAAAATATATCAATAAAACTGGGTAAAACAAAGTTAGATCTTTCTCTTAAGCCATGAACTTAAAATAATTTCATATGCACTAAGGATTGAAATATAAAAATAAAGTATACAAATGTTAGAAGACAATAACTACATTCTTGAGCTAAAATGTTTTCAATATATTCAGAAACAATAAAGGAAAAAATTAATAAATCTAACTGTGTAGAAATTGAAAATTGCTATCAGTAAAACACACACACACACACACACACACACACACACACACCCCAAGGACACAGGTAAAGAATGTGCAATACCTATGACAGATGGAGGATTAGCATTTCCCCCTACTACATAAATAGCTTTTACAAAGCAGTAGGGAAGAAAATGCCTGGTAGAAAAAAAGAGGAGTAACCATGAATTGACAATGACACAAAATCACATAGAAAAACAAATCTCGCCATAAACCAAAGAGTGCAAATTAAAATGAAATCTTTTGCCTCTCATATAAAAATCAATAATAAGTTTACATGCATGGAATAGAATATTCAAAGAAATGATAAGAAATGTTCAAAGAAATGTTCTCTGTTGGAGAACATTTTCTGTCTTAGTCCGTTTCAGAGTAAAGGTGGAGAGAGTGTGTGGCTGAGTGGGCTAGTCCAAATTCAAAGGCACAGTACAATTAGCACGATGGGAGTGAGTGTAGACGATGGTAAACCGCAATGACGTGTGTAGGGGCACTGACAGGTTTGCATATTGTCTCTCCCAGAGTTAACATTTTCATATTTACAGGTTCCAAATTCATGTGGCCTTTGAATGGCTGGGTGAGAGCAAGATTTTAGAATGTGGATAACATACTTAATGATCCTATATAATAAAAGCCCAGCGACTAAACAGTGGAATGACCAGAATGACTGGTTGACCAGTCACTATGACACACACTGACCACCTGGAGGCAGATGCTCAATGCAGGAGCTTTCCCTGGTGGTCAGTGAGCTACCACACCTCTCAGCTGACCAGGATGAGTGGTTGCTCCCGCTGTGAACCCCAGACTGCAATCATAGCCTCCTCAGCCTAGGCTCCTCCTCATTGTTCCTGGCCACCTCCTCTGGATGCCCACAGGCCACACAGCACCACCACCAGGCTCACAGAGCTGACCCTGCCACCTCTCAGTGCTATTGTCCCTGGGCCCGGCCCTGACCAGGTCCCCTGGAGAGGCGAGTGCTCTGGCTCCACAGAAAATACTGGGCCAGGGAGCAGCTGCTCAGAGGGCGGATCCACAGCCACTCAGCTGACCTGGATGAGTGGTGCTCCCACAGTGGGCTGATCGCACAGCCATGCCTCCCACCAGTGCACGAATCCTGTGCACAGGGCCTCTAGTAAGTTTAATAATAGTCTTCGTATCTGATAAAATGTCTTTATACACACTTTTGACAAAGTATAGAAACATTTAAATGTGAACTGCTTATTAAACACTTAATCTTTAGAGCTCTTTGTAGACACAATTGGAAGAAAATAAGTTTCTCTAACTTTTCACGGTAAGTGTTCCTTTCTTCCTTCTAGTTTTCCCAAGTTTCACCACAACACCTCTATAAATGGGTTAAGTATGTTCAGGCTGTTTGGGTCCATTTGCTCTAAGAGGGTTCAAAAAGAAAATCTACAAAATGATTTTATATAGTTAATGATAGAATTAGTATTTGTGTCTCTTAAGTATTTGCACTTCAATTTTTTTTTGTACATGTGAGGATTGTCAAAGAGTTTTCACATGCTTATGTGACCTGCACTTTGCTCCAAGGGCCTAAGAGTGGGGCAGGAACTGTTGTTTTCATCTGAGAGAGGTGAGGTAACTTGGGGAAACCCCAACACACAGCAGGCGAACTGGGCTCAGAACCCAGGCCTTCTCATTGGGGTCCAGTGCCCTTCCCACCCTACCATCCACTTTCCTCTACAAGAGGAGGCCAAAGATGGCCATGATGGAACCTTGTAGAGAAGATGTCTTTGAAGATTACATCATGTCAAGTACTCAATCTGCTCACCTAGAACAGCATTCGTCTATGTCTACTTGACCTTGGAGGGTGTGTCCATAGGAATTTGTTCCCCACTCTCAGCACCTCTGGTTATGGGGAACATTTTAGGACAGCATCCCATGGCCCTCACCCCCGGGCCTAGCATGTCAAGGTCATGCATGGCTTCCCCAGATCTCAGGGCACAGGGAGAAGCATGCCGTTCTACTACCTTTAATGGCCTCTTTCACAGCAGAATCCACAGGGAGTATGTTCTTCTCCACTAGCTCCAGCGGCCCCGGCCGGAGAGCAATTTTTTCATTGAGATCGTCTGCAAGTCTGGCTCTTTTCAGCTTCATCTGAGCAGCGGGAATAGACCTCTCTGCCGTGGAGGCTGAGTGGGGGAGGGGAAGGAACAGGATCAGCTCTACAATGCCGTGTTATTTTTGATTTGTTGCATTTGTAACCAAGTATTGTGTACCTGGTGCTCTACCATCCTGAAAAGTTTTTAATGCAATCGTCATTATTTCTCATGGATTAGCAACAAAGACTAGCCACTTCTAAACAAAGACAAATAATGAGTTGGGCACACAGAAAAGTTAGACAAACTTGCTTTGTGAGGATTTTTGAGAAGAAAAAAAAAGTGCAGTTTGGTGATTCTGTAAGCAAGTAGTACACAGAATCTACATTGCTTGCTGACCCTAAGCTACAACCTTTGAATGCACATCCTCCGTATATGCTCCCTGGTACAGACTAAGCCTGCAGAAAATGTTATCTATTCTTAATATATATATATATATATATATATATATATATATATATATATATATATATATATATATATTTTTTTTTTTTTTTTTTTTTTTTTTTTTCCTCTCTCAGTGATGAGAGAGAATCATTGATTGGCTGCCTCCTGCATACCCCACACTGGGGATCAGGGCATGTGCCCTCACCAGGAACTGAACTGTGACCTCCTGGTTTATAGGTCGACATTCAACCACGGAGCCACCCCAGCCAGGTCATTACTAACTCTTATAATTATACTGTATGTTCTTAAGGCTTTTCTACTTATAAGTGTGAGGTTAATTTAAATGTCCAGGTCAGCTGTAAAAGAAAAAAGACTCATTTGAAACAGTTATCTAATTAAACAGAGAGATCTTGACAATGGAATTTATCCAACAAGCAGCTTATGATCATTTGGAGGATGAGAACGGTTACTAACAGAGCCCTAAGCTACCCCATGTTCCCTTGTCAGTTAGGCCTGACTTACTTCTGTGAACGAACTTGGCAGAGAATCTAGCCAGCCAGGTGTTGCTATAATACCGAACTGTAAACTACAATTCCTTAAGACTTTCTAGCTTTACTCTCAACCTGGCACATTTAGAAGGTGAGATATTCACGGACAAGCCTCAAGCCCACTGTCCTGTTATTTCCATGCTATGAGGCCAGGCAGTGTCTGTTCTAGCAAGCTTCCCCCAGCAGAGGGCCAGGGATGTCTCATTGTGGCAGCAGGCCAGGCTCCTCGAAACTCTACCTGCAAAGCCCCTGATGTGAGATGGAAGCATCTGGAAAACCCCACTTACAATCTTAGATTAACAAGTGGGTGTCATTTTTAATTCCTTATATTTATTGTTAGGGCTGTATTTCCCCACCACAGAATATGACTGTAAACACAGCTCATGTATATTGTTTTTCTTCCCTGAATTTGATTACAAATGTAGTTTTGGTTTTTCACTAAAGGTCATCTTGTAAACCATTTCTCATTAAATCATTATCCTTTTAAAGCCCTCTTTGTGGTGGCCTGGTGGAATTAAATCATATGGCTGATGCATAATTTACTCTGGGCACCTTCATTGGTGGACAGTTCGCCATTTGCCAAGTCTCACTATCTGAAGTAATTCTACAGTGAACATCGTTGTACATCAATCTTTGCTTATCCAGTGATTTTATCTGGATAAAATACAGGCATATACATTTTATTGTGCTTTGCTTATTGCACTTCCCAGATGTTGAATTTTTAAAAACTGAAGAAAAGACCTTCCACCACCAAAAAGCTTACAACTCACTTACTTTATTGTGGTGCATGCTTGATTACAGTGGTCTGGACCCCAACCTGAAATAGCGCTGAGGTGTGCCTGTATTACACTTCCTACTGGGCTAGAGGGCAGGCACACTGTGAAAGAAGGTGATGTGTATGGACATTGCCTATGTACTCAGAAGTGGCACAGCTAAGACTAGAACACAAGTGTGAGACCTTCCTAGCCTTTGTATGGCTTCCCAATTTGATTGTCTAAAATGGCCTAGAGCCGTGGTCGGCAAACTGCAGCTCGGGAGCCACATGAGGCTCTTTGGTCCTTTGAGTGTGGCTCTTCCACAAAATACCACAGCCTGGGTGAGTCTATTTTAAAGAAGTGGCATTAGAAGAAGTTTAAGTTTAAAAAATTTGGCTCTCAAAAGAAATTTCTACCCTTGTATTGTTGATATTTGGCTCTGTTGACCAATGAGTTTGCCAACCACTGGCCTAGAATGACTATGTGACTTCTCAAAAGTACCAATTTCCAATGTTAGGGGACACTTTCTATGAAGTCTTAAGTGACTGTGCAGAGACCAGGGGCTGTGGCAGAATGGCCCAGCCTGAGCGGGCCTCTGGCCTGTGCTTCGCGCAGCCTTACCCTGGAGTATGTGCATAGTCGCCGAGTGGGCGCGGTTGGGCCTGCTTCTGACCTTGTGCTGCAGGGCGTCTTCTGTCTGCGGGCACAAGCAGAACACATGTCACCACCACACAGGCCCCCCCGCTGTACATCAATCTTTGCTTATCCGCCCGGTTCCAGCTGCCAAAGCAACCTGGGCTTCCTCACAGGGGAGAGCAGTCTCTTTATGACACACGAAACATGCAAATACCCATGGCCTATGTTTTCACTCAGAAACACTTACAAAAGCCTCTTGAATGGATTTCAGGATGAAAGACGAAGAGGTAAAAAGCTCGGGTTTCTAGTGAAAGGCCAGGCAGGTACATGCTAATAAATAGGATCGAAGCCATGCTGCTTGTGTTATAGTGAATCCTGCACTCCTCTGCCTCATAACCGGCCACACATTCACCAGGGTTAGAGGCGGTCCCTAACCTGAGTCCCTCCCCATGACTACAGACGCCCTCCTCCTGTCAGGCTTCTCTGTGAGGCCTGTCCAAGTTGGAAGGACACTTGGAAACAGACTATTTGCTGAGTGTTCTCGCCTCCGTGGTGGCGGGCTGTGGGTGGGGTGGGGCGGCTGGGCAGGGCCACACTGGCTTGGGTCTGACTTCCAGCTCTGAGTTGTTAACCCCACTACATTGGATCCCTCCTATGTGGCCCTGAGAGGTGCCTGGAGACACCTCCAGTTCTGACTTTAAACAAAAACAAAGCCTGGTTCCTCTCCAGAGAGTGGGGACCACTTCTGAGGGGTCACAGGTTGCCTCCTCTAGAGACCCCAGGAGACACCTCCCGGCAGTTCCTCCCTGCAGAGCGCTGGCGCTTGCTACAGTGCATTTATAGTATGCATAAATTCAGGTGGCAGAGATGTGCTAAGAAGAATATATACAAACTTTCCCCCCAATTGCCACAAAAAAACAGAAACAGTCATAAACTCAGTGCCCTTTGCCTTAAGTCACTGCAAATAAGGACTGTGTCCACAGCCAGACCTCACCACCAAGTCACCTTAGGAACACCTGATAGTTGCCGAGAAAGGGCTGTAATGACAGGCACAGCCGCGAACCAACTCCGGCTCCTGTGAAGTCTTTGACTTCTGCTGCAGCCTGCAGCGACCCACATCAGAAAGACTGGGCATTTTTTATAGCTGATGTAGTGGACCCCATTTCAAGTTTCCTGTTTTTAACAGGAAGATGCCATTCGGCATGCGGGCAGGGAGCTGGCTAGCGGGCTGAATTTCTTGGAGACATTCTACTTGCTGTAGGCGAGGGCGAGCAACCGGAGACCTAACCCTGGGAGGGTAAGTTCAGGGAGAGGGCAGTTTGCAGGTAGTTACCTGGTCACCAGCCGGATGCTTTCTTTGCTCATGGAACACAGTGGGACCTCTCAGCGCTGAAATAGAAAGACGCAGATGTGAGTGGGGGGCTCGGGGCTCTGAGCAGGTCTCAGCGTTGGCTGGTGCGCGGGCTGAGCTGTGCACAGTACGGCTGTGGGCACCTTACAGGCCACAAGCAATGGAGAGGAAAGGCCTGGAGGTCTCAGCTTTCCCTGAAGCTGCAGGTCACAGAGGAAGGAGGGTCTTCAGCCTAAAACAGGAGGAGTAGCAGAGGCAGAGGCGACAGGAAGAGACATGGTGGCGACAGGGCATTCGGGGTCCTGAGGAAGTACAGGGGCCTGTGGGAAGCTCTGGTTTGAGGGGCAAGGGGATCCTGGGGTACATAACACCCTCTTTGACTTTGCTCTGCCCTTGAGTTCAGGAGACTGGGTGGAAGCTGTGGTCTGTGGGAAGAGGTTCCGTATCGAAGAAGGGATGGAAACCCTGGGTGTGGTGTGTGGTTCGCTGGTAGGAACATGCAACTGAAAGTGTTGGTTTGAGAAGCAGGGAATCAGACTTTGAGGGCTGGAAGGGACCTTGGAGATAATGAAACACAACTCCAACCCTAACCAGAATGGGGAAACTGAGGCCCACAGAAATGGGTTGACTTGCCCTGGGTCACACAGTCTGGGCTGGAAGTCTAGGCCCTCTGACAACCTGGCTTTTTGCAATGTGTGTGTCCAAGATATTAATTAACAAGCAAGGGCACAGGCACCAGCCAGGCCCCACACATGGCTGCTCCTGACAACCTGACGGGACGCTAGCCTCCACCTCTCCTCCTTGCCCTGGCTTCTCTGCGACCTCACAGCTCCCCCTCCTGATCCTTTCCCCAGGCCTCCTAACTCAGTACAGAAGTAGGCCATCGTTCAGCAGAATTCTCCATTTAAAAAAAATATATATTTTATTGATTTTTTACAGAGAGGAAGAGAGAGGGATAGAGAGCTAGAAACGTTGATGAGAGAGAAACATCAACCAGCTGCCTCCTGCACACCCCCCACTGGGGATGTGCCAGCAACCAAGGTACATGCCCTTGACTGGAATCGAACCCAGGACCGCATGCCGCAGGCCGACGCTCTACCACTGAGCCAAACGGGTTTCGGCAGAATTCTCCATTTTTTATTAGTTTTTCTGATCCCCTGAAACAATCTCCACCAGGAGCTACACACATCACTTTTCATGATAAGCGATGAGGTTGGTCAGAGATTACAGAATTGCCCTGAGTATCTTTGTGTGTAAGTCTCAGCAAGTGGGTGAGTGACAGGACCTCCAGTTCCAATGTTCCTCCCACAGGTGTCCACCATTAAGCTGCAGGCAATGAAATGGTCTCCCAAATTTTGGCCAGAAAAAAACTGGGTTTCTGGCCAGATTGGCACTTGGGGCCGTGTGTGTGTGTGTGTGTGTGTGTGTGTGTGTGCGTGTGCACGTCCCTTATTCAGATCTGAAGCTCATACTAAATTTGAGCAATTTCAAAAGGGACAGTAAGCCATCTCCTTCGGAGTCCTGTTGGCTGGTGGACAATGTCACCCTCTTTTGAGGAACCTGTTTGGAAGGTACTAAGTACACTCTCTCTAAGCCCCCAGTCTTGCCTCAGCATTGACAGAGCTTTTCTAAGGAACATGCAGAATAGTCCCTTGTTCTATTTAAACAGCAGGGACTTGTGCCAAGCATACTGGACTAGCCCCTTCTCATGCTTTGAGCAGAATAAGAGGCTTCCCTTCTCATGGAAAAGAATTAAATGTGCTGCTTGAATATCACTTTTCCTATTGCTCTAACACCAGTCTCTTTTGGCTGCTTTCACCCTTCCAATGGGCTTCTTTGCAAAGCCTGCCATGTCAAATGGCCCCTGCCCATCCCTCCTTTTGTCCCTCTCAGTGGCTCTGAGACATCATCTGGAGAAACGTGTGTTTCCACTGCGATGCTCATGTGTTTTCTCCCATTTGGGTCTGGTCACCATCCTTAGAAAGAAGGCTCGCCTTTTCCTGCATTTGATCACAGCTGTGATTCGTATTGATGGAGTTCTGAAAGCAACTCCTGTTTCCCTAGCAACCAGATCCTACATAGCTGCGTGGAGTCCAGTAGGCCATGGTAGATCTCACAGTCTGAACTGGCAGGTCTTCACCTGTGTCCTACACCCTGGTGAAGTAGGTAGTATGTACTGCTGTGGCTTAGTCACTTCTGACCCAGAAGAGGAATGGATCTCAGTGTGGCCTGGTTAAGTGGCTGAAAAGAATAGCACCTCCTTTTCCTTAGGAAGCACCCCTCAGGGAACAGTAGGAAGGCATCTTGCAATATTGCTTACATTGCAAACTCAATTGGTTGTAATTGGGCTTCAGGCTTGGGAGGAATTTATCTGGTTCTCCTGTCCCCGGCTCTTCATTTTCTAAGGGAGTTTACTCATTGTTCTAAGAAACATTGCATTTCCTGTATCTCAGCTTGTCAAGCTATAATTCATCACTTCTTGGTGTTAAAAGCTCCCCCGAGAAATGATTCATACAGCCCAGCTCCGTTGCCAGGGGCACAAAAGTCTTATGGAACCTTCTAGCACAGGGTGGGAGAAGCTAAGTCCATTTAGCAAGGGGTCAGGAGGAAGACAAAGGGATGGGCACACTGAATTTGCACTGTCGACAGCCATCCTGCCGTGGCCCTGCCACAGACACTGGCCTTTTCTGGGCTCCGGAGAATGTGGGTTTAGCCTCCTCCCAAGGCCAGCAGAGGCCATAAGGCACCCCCCACCCCAAGTTCAGTTTTTTGAAGACAGAGGACCTCTGCTGCTGCCAATCCTGGGAGCATCAAACAGCAACACTGTGTATCCAAGGGACATTGACATTTAAGATGGACAAGGAATTTTAATTTCTAAATTAAAAAAAATAAGGCAAATTAAAATTCTTTGTAAATTTACTCAGCCATGCATCATATTCCCCCCCTAGAGGAAGATAATGTTTTCTCACAGGGGAATTCACATTCTCACCTCTGAGTCGGTTACAACTAGCCTGGGTCTGCTCGGTGCATAAACCCCGCTTTCTCAGGAAAAGATCCCAAGAGGAGGCCAGGCCTCCTGGAGCCCTGCTCTGCACTCTGACCTCATGTCTTCATCGGGGGCACAGTGAAAGCAGAAAATAGATCTCGGGGCACTTTAATCCATTGAGGAGAGGGGCCAGCACAGTGGAGGGGCCAGGTGTTGGTGGCAGCTCTGACAGCTGTGCCTGAGGCAGGACCTGCCTTCTGTCACCGGCTGCTCAATCCCAGGCTAACTGGGAGAGAACCCAGCTCCTTGGGTATTTTTGATAAAGATCAAGAGTCAGGCCAAAACCGGTTTGGCTCAGTGGATAGATAGAGCGTCAGCCTGTAGACTGAAGGGTCCCGGGTTCAATTCCGTTCAAGGGCATGTACCTTGGTTGTGGGCAGATCCCCAGTGGGGATTGTGCAGGAGGCGGCTGATGGATATTTCTCTCTCATCGATGTTTCTAGCTCTCTATCTCTCTCTCTTCCTCTCTGTAAAAAAATCAATAAGATATATTAAAAAAAAAAAAAAAAAGATCAAGAGTCAGAATCAAAGAGTCAGAGTCCTGGGACAGTAATTAAACTCCAAGTGGTTCTCGAAGTGTGGCCCCCGGGCCGGCATCATCAGCATCACCTGGAAATTTGCAAGAGTGCTAATCCTTGGCCCGAGCTGAGAACTCAGGACCCCAAACTGTGGAGGTGTGGGAGCTAGGGGGCTGTGTGCCAGTGTAGCCCCGTGGGTGATTCTGATGCACACGTTTGAGAATGGCTGCTCTGGTACTTACAAGGCAGTGGTCCTGATCTAGGGAGTTCAGAAGGGAGTGATGGTTTCTAGGGGTGATGGTCAGTATTTCAGAAAGCTGGAGAAGGGCATGTTGCCCAAAGGAAGAGGCTGCTTTAGGCACACGGAGCTGTCACTTCACTGCTGCTGCCTAGGCTCACAGCAACTGGGTTTAGTAACAGGTGTCCTCATGGAAATCACTGGTTGGTAAGTGTATGTGACAGTAACTAATCAAAGACAGACATAAGGTTAATCATTCATGTATGTAGAGTTCTTTGGGAGGAAGATGAAATGAATTCAAACATTTGATCTATGGCAGGGATAGGTGTACTGAAAGAAGTTTTGGATGACGGAATCACCGGCAACCATCCATTTAGGCTCTATCCTGACTTTGCATCTATGTTTGGTATAGCTTTGAACATGTTTATAGTCTTCCTGTGTCCTCAGTTTGCCATTTATAAAATGGGTTTAGTAATGCTAGTCCTCTTCTTGCCTCGCTTTTAAAGACAAATTGGATCATGAGTATTTTTATTTCAAGTAGCTGTGTGTTGTCACCATGCCATGCATAAATGATAATACTTTGGAAATTACTGTCTCTCTTTAGGTTGGCAGTATGGCCCATTCAGTACCCAAAGGGCAGTCTTAGGCGTCTTCTCAGTGCAGCTTTGCTATTCTTAAGAGGTGGCTTGAGCACTTGGACACGTTGATGGAACATAGGTGAACATTTTGGAATTTGTCAGAAGAAAGGTACAAAGACAAATTCAAAGTATGCCAGTGACTACTGATTTACTTATTTCGAAGGATCAAGAAACCAGAAAATTGAAGGAAAAGGTGGGGTGGGGGATGGGGAGAAGGGATTTATGATTGTTTACCCAAATGGGGTTGTCACGAAAATCCAGGGTGCCTTTTCCTATCTCTGAATCTGAGGTGCTAGAAAGAAGGGAAGAGGCAGACAGATGGAAACCCTCGTGCCGTGTTCTGCTCAGACAGCCAACAGTGTGTGGCAGGTGCTGTGGGAATAAGCCAAGTCAGGTGAATGCACCGAGAAAAGGAAGGAAGGCTTTGCCCACTCAGTGTCTCAGAGCTATCAGGAAGCTGCATGTGGCGTGGGCACAGGAGCTGCCCAGTCATTCTTCTCGCTATGCAGGAGGAGTATCACAGAACTCAGGGATTTACCAAGGCTTGGCAGTAAGTATGTGGCTGCTGTGGCTTGGATTAGTCTGCAAAACAAATAAAGGCAGCACCATTCATAGACAGCTCATCGCATCTTTCAATTCATTGACATTGATCAGATCACAGAACCAAGCCGCCCAGGCATCTTGCTCTGGCCAGTGGTGGCTTGCTTGGAGTCTCCATGGAGTGCCACAGCCGTTCTGGGCCCCAGCCCTCCACAGTCCATCTCAGTTCTCTAATCTCGCTCTCTGTGTTCCAGGACAATAAGCTAAATGTTCTCTCCTCTCTCCCCGGGATCCATATAGATTAGCTCCAAGTTCATAGCAGCGGGAAAGAGAAAGAAAACATAATTGATTTCTTTCAGTCCTCCCAGAGACCCACTCCCACACAGTGACATGATGTTGTCCAATATTGTTAACGAGGACAATTAAGGAGGATGATTGGGGCCCCTTCTGGATTGTAAGCCCTTAGAAACACAACTTATGTCTGACCCTTCCGCACTCCACAACAAATAGTCAAAATATTTACTGACAATATTTTCTTTTGTGTTCAGAAAACTTCTAGATCCTTTAGACACCTAATCCATGTAGCTGATCACCCTTCTGCACCAAGGCTTCAAAAATGGTTGGAATAAAATTGTGTCATTTAAGATTCTACCCAGGAGAGCAAATGCTCAAGAAAAAACAATGTAGCTAAAACAATGTGCACAAGAGATGAGGAACAGGTCCATAGGTCTACCAGGGAAGGAGGGAACTCTGTCCTACATCCAAGAAAAAGTAGAGAACCTTGATGTCCTCTTACAGCATTGGGCCTAAACGGGAGGGGCAGTGGAGCCATCCTTGTGAGTTCTAGTTGATAGTGACAAAGTCAGCAATTTGGAATCTCCATCTTGAGATGCAGAGATAAGATTTTGGAGATAAATCCAAACAACAAATTCTTAGATATTTCTAAGTTAACTTCAAGAAGATTATTTCACTAAGATGTTATGACTATTTTGAAAGTGTGAATTCCACAACTGAATATTAAATGTAAAAGCAATCTTAGGGTCTGGCTTGGGTCCATGCTCCCGGCCTGAGAACCCTTTTCCTACTGTTTAAAGTTGTTTGAGGGGCTCAGTGCTGGCCTCAGAACCCTGCTCTGCTTCCCTGAAACTCAAGGAGCAATGCCTTTAAACCCATTGAAAGCACCTGAAAGGGAAAATCCTAACCCCATAATGCCCACAAGAAATATGTAAATGCTTAACGAAGTGATTAAGGGGGATCATACAAAAGGATTTGTTCCTAATTGATGTGGACTCTTTGTACTCATAGGCAGACTCAAACCCTGCAGGATGCATGGCCAAGGACAAGGGAAACATAAATTAAATCCATTTGGACTAGTTTCTCTCGTCAACTGACAATGACACATGGTTTGGTTCATTGGAGCCAGTATGGGAGAAGCCTTGCCATGTAACCATCACTTTGGCACGGAGTTGAAGTGAGAGCTGCCATAGCTGAGGCAGTGGGATTTTTCACTCTGCCTCAGTCCTTGGGGGGCATAGATGATGCCATAGACTCTGGAGCCATTTCAAAAACCACCGGTTTGTCCTTGTCATATATATACCCCCTCCCCCCCAAAAAATGTATACACACACATTGAATAATTATAAAAGCAGTGTTTATTAAAATACATTTCATTTTAAAAATTGAGCTACAGCTGTTATATATATATATACAGCTGAAGATATATATCTTCAAAATGTATACACACTTTAACAGCTACAGCTCAATTTTGAAAATGAAATATATTTTAATAAATGTAATTTAATAAATAATATGTAACTGCTTTATAGTAGACACTTAAGTGCTCTAAAAGCTCAAGTGATTCCTTTTGAATAGCTGAAAACAAAGCCCTGTGTAGGCATCAGAAGACACAGGTCTGGCCCCAGCTCTGCCACAGTGCACAATATGAGGGATGCATTCTTCCAATGGATAAGCCCTTGAGATGTAGCCTCATGTCAAACTCAAGACTCATTCTGCCAAAGGGTAGAGGATGTTTCTGTTGAGCACTGCAGGGCCATATAATAACAACACAGAACGATTCATTCATGTGGCCATGTCAGCTTTCCACTTAGGCAATTTATGATGTTTTAAAATAGGGGGGTACAATTGCAAATATTTAAAACTTTACTGATAAAGTAAAATTTTTATTAATAACCTTATTGAGCATGCACTTCAATTCTCACGATTCAAATCTGCAGAAATTAGAACCACTCTGGGACCGGGTTTTGGGACATTTGAAAAATTTTTAGGCCTCCTCCACCCCAGTTTTATGAACATTAAAGATAATAGGGTGTGGACTAGGCCAGGGGTTTTAAACTCTGTTCTGAAGAGAGCCAGCTCTTGGGGAGGATGACTGGGGTGTCTAGAAGGAATGGGGATGGCTGAGTACATGGAGCAGAGGCCTCCACACTGTTTCAGCCAGCACATACATACACAATACATCTTTCACAATTAAAGAAATTCAAGATCACAGAAATAGATGATCTCTAAGGATTATCAGCTCTTCTTCCCTCCATTCTCCCCTCTTCCTTCCACCTTTGTTCTGTTTCAAAAAATTCAAAGAAAATAATGAAGAAATAAAAGCCCTCTTGTGAACAGAAGGAGCTCCACCTTGAACTATATTATGTGTATTTCTCATCACTCTTTCTCCTAAAATCTTGAGTTTCCCTGAGGACCGTATTGCTCCCGGGTGTGGCCAGTATGCCTGGCACAGCAGCCTGCATCAATTCTGGTTAGAAATATGTTGAATTTGACTAGATGGAAAAGCCCCTGGGACTGTGGGTCCTCTTTCCTTCGCCCCATGAGTGACTCACACACCTGCTCTGAGGTGCCTGAGCGAGCACTCTGCATTAGCTGGCAGGTTTAATCTCTCCTCCCTGCCCCAATCTCTGGGCGGGTGAAGATTCCTCCTGCCTGGGGTAGCTTTGTGAGAAGACCCAAGTGCTGACCGTTTCTCCGGGCTGGGCCTGCAGTGGGCTCCTGCTGGGGTGTGGGCATTTCCCAGGGAAAATCCACACCCTTGGAAAGTGGGGTGGAGAAGAGGTGGTTGAAGACTAAGGAAAATGGACGATGTGTCATTAACCTTCCTCATTTTGCTGAATTAAAAAGACAACATTTTGGTCACACGGCATTTCGTTAATTTGTACACTATCTGACTTTGGACATCGTGGAGGACAAAATGCTCTATCCCATCCCCATTGGACCCTACTGATCTTCCCAAGTTACACAGAGGAAGTATTTAAAAATTCAATATAGGGTTTTTATCGATTCTCAGAGATTTCATCCTATTAACTTAAAAAAAAAAAAAAGAGTTTGTTCTCATCCAAATGTGAGCTGGGAGACCTGGCTCAGGGTTCAGCACATTGGTGGATCTGTCAGTCACTGTGGACAGCTGGAGCTGTGCACTCCAGGGAGGGGACAGATTATTTCCACATGATTCAAATCGGTGGCTCCTCTTAGGGTACCTACTATATATAACCTGTGGCCCCCTGAAAGGATCCTGGGAACCTACACTAGTCTGCCCTCTTAGTGAATACTTCTTCAAGATAATGGGAAACAAATGAGGTTCTATACCGTGAAGGCAGGATTCCTGGAGAGATAGGCCTAGTCCAATAGTTGGCAAACTTCCGCTCGCGAGCCACATGCGGCTCTTTGGCCCCTTGAGTTTTTAGCAAAGGCCAGCTTAGGAGTACCCTAATTACCTTAAGAACAATGTACCTACCTATCTAGTTTAAGTTTACAAAATGTGGCCCTCAAAAGGAATTTCAATCGGACTGCTGATGGTTGGCTCTGTTGAAGAATGAGTTTGCCGACCACTGACCTAGTCAGCTGTGAGTGACGCTGGGTTTGATGGCTCCCATTTGAAGTCTGCAGGCCTTCGGTCTCTCCTGTCTAGAGCAGGCCACAGGCGGTCTGGCCGACGCCCAGGCCACACTAAGACTGGCTCCTTTAGTTTCTCATCACAGGTGTACACGCTGTGTTAGCAGCTTTTAAGTGGCAGGCTGAGCTGTTTCTTTTGTGTTCAGAACACTTCTAACAACCTTGTCCTGCTGTAAGCTCACCTGCTGTTTACTCTTGGTGAGGTTTAGCCATCAACAGAGAGCCGCTTTTGAAAGGAAAAGGCCTGAGAAACTCTTCGTTCTGTTTTGGCTCAGAGACACAGGATTGTGCTTGAAAATGTTAGACCTTCAATCATAGGGCTCTGGCATAACTAATCGCTGGCCTCTCTTTTCAACTCAACTCTGACGTACTAGTCATGCCGGGACCTGGGTTTCTGCAAGGGTCATTATAAATCTTAATTTTTAAGTTCTGTTGGGGGAGGAAGTTAGAAACGATGACTTAAAGAAACTTACACTGTGATTTCCTTCATCCAGGGAACCCTTTCTGCTATTGCTATAGAAAACTAAAATTGGCTCTAATTGCTAAACTGGTAGAACATTTCAAATATATCTTTGAAGAGATATGAGAATCCTTTTTCTTTGACCTAAATTACGGCCAACAATTCAATGTTATAGCATCTGTGCTAGACTGGTATTGCTATTCAGTAATCCAGAAAGAAAGCTCTTGACAATATTCAATTAATTGTGGATAAAAGTATCTCCAACCGAAGTGAAACCGAAGAGGTAAGAAAAAGATGACATATTAATGCTTCTGGAAGAGTAGTGTTCATATGCCAATTTAAAAGTAAGAAAAGGGTGGGGGATGCACATAGTGAATTGTATTTGCCCTAAAAGCAAAACCAACACGTGGAACTTTAGGGAACCACCCACCTTGTGGGTGAGTAGCATTTGGGGCAAAGCATCCAAAGTCTGGATTTCTGCTGATTCAGATTCTACGAAGATCTGTGGGCTTAGACTAAATGCCCTGAGATGCTTTCCACTCCCACATCCCATGATCCCCTGGGCATAGTGCATCAGTAACCCCGAGATGCCAATACTCACGTGGTATGAAGCCCTGGCTAGCCAGCTGCTCCTGGGCCCTTCTTTGCTGAAGTCGTAACTGCAAAACTTAGAAAAGAAGCATTATTGTGTGAGTTGTGCTAAATGTGATCATAATCACCTGCATTTACATCATAGCTCATCTCTGTTTCTAGAACAGTTGTAGACGTGTGTGGGAGGCACATCAGAGAGAAGGGCGAGCGCTGCTGAGAGGGCTGCAGGGCCTCCCCGTAGGTTGGTAACCACCTCGGGTGAGAACACTCATCTCCTCTCTGAAGTGAATGCTGTTTTTACAGCACCACGTGCCCTCTGTGCCCTACTGTGCCACGTGGGAGACAAATACCATCCAATTCCTCTGGGAATTCTCCTGTCATTTCAAGAAAAGGAGACAGTAAAGAAAGCATAGGTTTTGGAGTCCCAAGTGGGTTAAATTCCACCTCTACACCTGTGCAGGTGAGGAACTCTGGGTAAGACCTCCCTGACTTTGCTTCCTCATTATCAAGTGGGAATGATGCCTACCTTGTGGTGTTGCTATGAAGTCTGAACAAATAATGTATGCAGATTGGTTGGCAGAGTTCTTGGAAGAAGAACTAACATTGATAAATGGGAGTACTATGAGATTCTGGAATCCATTTGTGAATTCAGAAAAGGGCCTTGGTGTCAAGCTTTGCTTAGAGAAAATAAAACATTCTAAATTGTCCAAACTCTGTTTTACAAAAATTTATGTTACCATCCATAGCACAGATAGATTATATACAACATATAGCTACATCCATATAAGTAGTATATCTAGAATAAATGTATTGTTTGTGGTTTTTCCTCTTTCCCCTCACCTCTCTACCCCAAACACATTTTATCTTCCAGCATTTATCCTCTCCCTTATGAGCATTCCATTTTCTTAGGGAGATTCTGAGTTTGCCATCTTAATTCCTGGTTGTAAGCTGTTCTGAGTAGAAAGGATAGAAAGAGCAGACCTTTGCCTACACTGTGAAAGAAGGGGACTCCTCAGTGGATCAAAGCTGTAAGTAATCTGTGAGACATAAAAGGGATATGGGACTAGACAACTACATCCCAAGATTTATACAGGCGAGTAATTTAAAGCTGTGCCAAGAGACCTTTTTGCCCAGGAGCAGGAGGGGGTCTGAGGCTCAGTCTAACAGGGCTGTTCGTTGGGGTACCACAGCAAAAGGTCAACCTCTACCAAGCCCTCCCCACCTGGCTATGGGGTATGAAGCTCTCTGCAGGTGGGAGCAGAAAATATGGAATCTTGGGCACCCCAGGAATAAGCTTTCAGACTGCTAGCACTAACCAGGAGGGGTAAGGACCCTTCATTGTCATCCTGTGCCTCTCGCCCAATCCCGGAATTAGTTCCAAGCACAGTGCCAGCGACACGTCTTTTCCCTGCAGGCTGGCTCAGCTGTGCGCCACGTGTTTAACAGGTATCCACAAAGGCACCTAGCCAGGGTTCCACTGAGAATTACCTAACCTGGGAGGCACGTCAGCACCGAGAAAGGCTCCAAACTTGAAGGTTACAATGTAAACGGATGCAACAGGCCTTTCTCGAAGACAGGCAAGAGAGAATTCACTCACTAAAAATAGACTAAAGCACTTCACACACATTACGATGGACACTACATCGAAAAGAGATCAAAATAAAACTTAGTTCATGAAAATAAACACATTCAAACGAATGGCTGGCTATCAGGATTAATACAGATAAAAGCAAATTAGTAAGTCAGAATTTTGAACTAAACTTTTCTCTTAGAATGTAACCCAGAGGAATAAAGGGGCAGAGAGTAAAATCAATACCTACTCAGTGTGAGACATTGCAAAATACAGAGGAGCTCCCAGGAAAAAAATGCTTACTGCTAAACTAAAAAGAACTATTATTAACTTGGGATTTGTGTACTTAAGGCCCTTTCCTCCATATGTTTCTATTGGATCATATAAGTTTTCCTTCATTACTGTTTTTCACTATTAGGGATATATCACAGACATATTCCCATGTGATTTATGACCTTTTAAAACATACTATTTGGGTGGCTTCCTAGTATTTTATTTTATTTTATTTTATTTTATTTTATTTTATTTTATTTTATTTTATTTTTTGGTTATTCTACAATTATTAAACCAAATGTCTATTATTGGACATTTAGTTTGTTTCCAATATTTTACCATAAAGAACAGCAGTGGACATTCTTTGTGGTTAATTTTGGCCCACATCCTCAATCTTACTAACGGATACCCTTCTCCAAGTGGAATTGTCACACTTCAAGTGCCATATTGAAGGCCTGTGGTCAGAAGGCAAACGGCTCTCTTCAAGGTTGTTCTGATTCTCTTCTCACTGTGAAGTGGCTGGGCTGTCCACTGCCCTCAGCCTTGCTGCTCTCATAGCCTGAAGGCTGCTGCACTGCTCTCCACTGGAGTTGGTGACTTGGCTGCTAGTGCAGTGCTGCGTGCCTAAGTGGGAGACAGTGCAATGCAGCATGGCTAAGGGAGGGACCAGTGCAGTGCTGGGTGCCTACGGGAGGGGCCAGAGTGCAGTGGCCATTTGTGTCCCCAACCCTGTTGGCAAACTGTCACTGATCCATTGTGGCTAAAAATAAACGGAGCAGAGGGTTAATTTTGGCCCAGGCCTTCCTCCCACCCCAGTTCTAACCGCCTACGAATGACAGGTGCTCCTGGAGTTTTCGCTTCACTTCCCTTGAGGCCATCTGGTCATTTCTGGGTGGGAAAGAAAAGTGAGTGCTTGGTGCCTTTTTCATGTCACCCCAATATGTGCCTTCACGGGCCTGGCATTTGGATGTCAATCTTTGTTAGCTTCCAGAATCAAAGCTTTCCCCCCTAATCTATCTTTGCACTCTTTTGTCAGAGTTTTAAGTCATATGTTTGCGCTCAAGTTGTCTCTTTCCTTGGGGTTCCGATTTCCTCATTGGCCTGGCTACCCTTGCTCAGTACTACATTAGCTCAGTAATTCTAGACTCATGATAGATTTTCATGTCTGGTAGAGAGAATCTCATATTAGCCTCTTCTATAGATGCTTCTTGTTTTTTTGTTGTTTTTTTTTTTAAAATATATATATTGATTTCAGAGAGGGAGAGAAAGATAGAAACATCAATGAAGAGAGATAATCATTGACCATTGATTATTTCTGCTTCCTGCATGTCCCCACCTGGGGATCAAGCCCACAACCCAGGCATGTGCCCTTGTCTGGAATCAAACTAGGGACCATTCAGTCCGTAAGCCGATGCTCTACCCACTGAGCCAAACTGGCTAGGTCTGTATAGATGCTTCTTGACTACTCCAGCCTGCCACCCCCATGCACCACTCCTCAAAAGAACTTCAGAGCCAGAGTAGCAAGTTCCACCACTACCTCCCACAAGCACTACCTCCACAAGAAGAAGGAATAAATTCCTTTAACAATCATAAGTGTAAACCCCATTATGTCAAAGAAGCAGACCCCACTTAATGATTATTAAAGAGTATATAGAAACTTCTGGATCAACCATAGTGAAGGGCCAGGAACAGGGTCCCTGCATGCAGCGGGGGCTGGCACTGGGTACCCAACTCAAGAATGGGAGTTAGAATGTCTGTACATCACTGGGTTGCAACTGGAACATGTCACGTGCTGGTGCCCAGGAGAGGACGAGTCACCAGAAGTACCAGGGGCAACTGTCGAGTCTCTAGAGTTTCAATTTGAGGAGGAGGCAGATATCAGGATTGATGGACACTGTCCCATTTCTCCCTTTAAAAAAATATATTTATTGATTTTTTTACAGAGAGAAAGAGAGAGGGATAGTGAGTTAGAAACATCGATGAGAGAGAATCATCGATCAGCTGCCTCTTGCACACTCTCTATTGGGGATGTACCCACAACCAAGGTACATGCCCTTGACCAGAATAGAACCTGGGACCCTTCAATCCGCAGGCCGATGCTCTATCCACTGAGCTAAACTGGTTTTGGCAACTGTCCCATTTCTCTTACCACACAGACGGCCCCTCTGCCAGATGCCCACGGGGTGGCAGAACCTCCTGAGGCAGAAGGGAGGCAGCTTAATGAAAAGAGGGTGCTGGGAATGGACAGCGTAGACTGAACTCTGACTCCAAGCTGTGTAACTCAGTCTAATTAGCAAGTCACCATGTCTATATCCCACCTTTCTCATCTGTATAGAGTAATGTTAATATTAATCATAAATCATAGTAACTGTTTCATAGGATCATTGGGACCCACTTTCTAAACTACGCAAGGCTAACAAATGCTTTTCTGTTTTCTATTGATAACTAGAGGCCAGGTGCATAAAATTTATGCATGGGGTGGGGTGGTGTTCCTCAACCCAGCCTGCACCCTCTCCAATCTGAGACCCCTCAGGGGATGTCTGACTGCCAGGCATCTCTCTCACAATCTGGAACTGCTGCCTCCTAACTGATCACCTGCCTGCCTGGCTGATCACACCTAACCACCTCTGCTTGCTGGCTTGGTCACCTCTTAACTTGTCCCTTACTGGCCTGGTTGCCCCCTAACTGCTCCCCTGCCAGCCTGATCACCCCTAAGCCTCTGCCTCAGGACCCTACTCCCTCCCACCCCCACCACTGTGGCTTTGTTTGGAAGATGTCTGGTTGACTCAGTCTAATTAGCATATTACCTTTTTATTAGTATAGATGGTTGCTTTGAGAGAGAGCCCATCTGTTTGATACTGGTTATAGAATCTGAAGAAAAGGGAGTTTTAAGCTGCAGAGGGAGTAGCAAAGTGTAACTTAAAAAGTCGTGATGGCTTAACCATCAGCCTTGGCCAGGACCTCTGTCCCTGGGAGGGAGTGAGTGGTGCAAAATGGGAAGGAGGGAGCTGTAGGAATCTCGTAGGAAGAGGCACTGCTCTGCATCCAGTGTAACCATCCAGTGACATGGTTACACTGGATGCAGAGCAGACAGGAAAGTCAGGTGATAGAAACGGGAGCGATTGGAAGAATCTGGATGGCGTTTTTCATGTCCAATTCACATTTTTACTTCTTCTCTCGGCCTCTGTGGCATTGACTGAGTTGAAAGTGTCAGTCTTGCCGAAACCGGTTTG